ACAACAAGGATCTATTTAGATACCTACAGTTAAGGCACTTCTACCACACAGAGATTAAGAAAAAAACTTTCACAAGAGGGAAACGATTTAGTGGAATTATTGATGGATGCATATAAAAAATGCCCTGGAAGACGGCATCTAAAGTGTACAAATGTTTACAGAAATGAAAGGGGGATGATTCACTGTACATTAAACAAAAGTGGGAAACAGAATTGTACATAGAGCTGTCAGAGGACGAGTGGTATTTGATCTGCACGGCACAGCACTCTTCCACTAGCTCCAGAGGATGGAGAGAATTTGGCTGAAAAAATTTGATCAGATACTTTATAACCCCCCATATTAAGAGTAACCAGCTGAAAACCCCACAACAGTGTTGGAGGCTCTGTGGCCGGGTCAATGCCAGTCATTCTCATGTCTTCTGGACTTGTATAAAAATCCGCCCCTTTTGGGACTCTGTCGTGGAGCAATTAGAATTGATATTGAGATACAAAATCCCAAACAGCCCTCTGACTATATATCTGGGATTGCTACCAAAGAACGTGATCAGAGAAGAGGACTTATATCTATTCAAGGTGATGATAATAGCATGTTAAAAAGCTATTACTGGGAACTGGCTGAACAGTGAGGCTCCGACGCTGAAGCAATGGAGGGAAGTTATGAATGAAATCTATATAATGGAAAAACTGACGCACTGCTTGAGGCTAAACTTGGCCAAATTTGAACAACGTTGGTAGAAGTGGTCTTGCCATATCACTCAATTAGCAGATTGAGGATGAATGAACAGTAGTACCCCACATGTTGTCAGCTCCTATGATGTTCTTGTTCATTCATTTTTTTTGTTCATCATAACTATTGTTGTACTTGAAAACTGTATAAATAAAAAGTATAAAAAAAAATAAAATAAAAGTTCACACAGATACCGCGGAGCAAGGCCATGTACAGCTTTAAAAGCCAATAAAAGAACCTTGTCCATGAATGTTAGTGACAGTGTGACATAGACCTGTCAAGATTTTTTAATTCACTATCTATTTTCTACCAGAAGCTATGCAGGAGGTAAGTGTAGGAGACTATTTTTAGACTATTTTCATATTGATGCACATGCATCACAAAAAATAATTTAAAAAAAGGGTTTCCAGTGATCCACATTTTTAAGACTCAAAAAACATTTGGGATCATTTGGAAAACTTTTTTATATGTATAATGAATGATAAAAGTTTTCTGAATGATCCCAAATATTTGAAATTTAACATACAACGGGGAGAATAACTATTTGACACATCAGCATTTTTATCAGTGAGGGTATTTCTAAGTGGGCCAATTTGCACCAGATATAGCTATCAAGCCAAATATTGAATTCATACAAAGAAATCAGAACATTTAGGTAAACAAGTTGAGTCATAATAAAGTGAAATGACACCGTCTCTACAGCTTCTAGACGCCTCTTGTATGGATAGACCAGTCGTCTGCGTTGCTCAGGAGTGATTCTGTCCCATTCTTCCATGCAAGTTTCACGTGAAGATGAAGAGATCTCATCACATGATGCAGAAATAATGACAACTGTGAACGCTATTCAAGCATCAAGAGAAATGGAACCCGTTTCTCATTTCATTCAACGTTTCTCATCCTGGACTAATCTGAAACGAGCAGTAGCATGGATTCTAAGAGTTAAAAAAACTGCTTTTGTACAACAGTAGAAGAAGAATGCAAGCCAAGAACATTCCTGAATAAAAACATGATGGACAAGCAAAAAATGAAAAGCTCATGCTCACAAACAATCCGTCAGTTAAAGAACTGGACAATGCTGAAATCGCCATAATGTCAAAGGAAAGATTTTGGAGATGAAATTTCCTGTTGAACAAAAGAAAACAATGTTAAAAGAACCAGTCACATCCACAAACTCTATCCAATTTTGAAAGAAGGTATATTTAGAGTTGGTGGGTGATTACACAGAGCATCCATGCCAGATGAGATGAAACATCCTGTGATTCTGGCCAAAGACTCTCACATTGCAAATCTAATCCTACAACATGTCCATAAAGAGGTGGGTCACGGAGGTCGCAATCATATGCTCTCCAAAGTGCGCCAAAAGTACTGGATCCCTGGTGTTACAGTACCAAACAGAAGAATTGTAGCTAAGTGTGTTGTGTGTCGACGCATAAATGCTTCACCAGGACACCAGCAGATGGCAGATTTGCCCTTACCTAGGGTAACACCTGATTAAACAACCTTTCACCTATGTTGGGAGTTGATTATTTTGGACCTTTTCCAGTAAAGCGGGGACGAACCTTTGTAAAGTGCTATGGTGTGATATTCACATGTTTGACATCAAGAGCTATTCACATAGAAATGGCATCATCACTGGATACAGATTCATTTATCAATGCCCTTCGCCGCTTTATCGCCAGACGAGGTCAAGTGAAAGAACTAAGATCTGAACAACCGCATCAGTTTTGTTGGAGCCTATCGTGAGCTAAAGGAAATGATAAAAGTATGGGATCAAAGTCGTATACACAACACGCTTCCCCACAAGAACATAAAATCGACTTTTCATCCACCAACTGGTTCTCATCATGGCGGCGTATGGGAAAGACATACGATCTATAAGAAGAGTCCTCAACTCCATCTTAAACTTACAAAATCTTGATGAAGAGAATCTCAGAACAATTCTCTGTGAAGCTGAAGCTGTTTTGAACAATCGACCCATTACAAAAGCTTCTACGGATCAGGTCAACCTCTCATCAAGCAACATCTCCAAATATTCAATTGATGATACCCTTTCCAGTGCCTTCGAGTCAAGCAACCGTCCCCCCAAGCAGTACGTTTCCTTTTGTAGCCAAACACCACTGTGCAAAGACCTAGTTCGGACATCCTACAGACGTTGTCTGGACCTACAGACTCAATACAGACATGATCTGCACGTCCATGTGACACCGACTGTTTGTAGAGTATACCTTGTCTTAGTGGAGGAGAGTTTGAAACCTAATGCCTCGACTACCCCTTATTAAAACATTTAAAAAGTAGGAGGCTATGCACGCTGCCCTATGGGACCGCCACCCCCACTGAGTAAGACAGGGCAGAACCAACCCTCACCTGAATTGTGCTCAAGAAACTCTACCGCAGCATCCTCCCCTACACACCAGCCTTATACAGGGAGATCAAAAGGCCATCCCGCCACAACATTTTGTAGGCTTTCACTATGTCAAGGAACACAGCAACCACCACCTCCCTGTGCGCAAGGGCACGCCTAACATCTAAATCCAGAGGGGCAATCCAACGTCGAGCAGCCTAGCCTGAAACCACACTGATGAGGGGCAAAAATCTCATCACTTTCCAAGACGTGCCTCAGCCGCAAGGCCACCATGGACTCCATAATTTTGCACACCACCAACAAGTTCAGAGCCCCAGGAGGGTTTCCAGGCTTCAAGATGATCACGACCACCAAATGCTTCAATACCTGTGGCAGGCTGGCCATCTGCATGTTCAAACATGGGATAACTCATGAAACTAGTAGACATGTTTTTATTTGATTAGCCATGGAATATTAAAGTTTTTTAATACAATTTTCATCCTCTGAGTGCCTCAGATCCTTTTCTTTTTTGTAGGGTGGGTTCATGTTTGAACCCGACTATAAAACATTATTATTATTTAATTATTATTATTTTATTTTGTTGTAGGAGAACATACAGCTCAGATGATTATTCGTACACTTTGAAGTTTAGGGTCAAAATATCAGAACATTATTCTGTGTTTATAGAAGAGAATGTTCCAGAGCGCAGCTGTGACTCTCCGTGTCGCCCCTCTGTGGCGCTCTCTCACAAACACAACTCTGCTCTTACTCGCTGCCATGGCTGCAGATGCTGCCGACCGGTGTTACGCCGAGAACAGGCTGCCTGCCGAAAATTGCATACCCTGCCGAAGGGAGCGCGCATTGCGACGGCTATAAGATATACTCGTACTATTACCATGTTACTTATGCATGTGCATCCTGAAAACTTAATATGTTGTCACAGTTGAATATATATATATATATATATATATATATATATATATATATATATATATATATATATATATATATATATATATATATATATATATATATATATATATATATGGCTGATTCCGTCGTAAACAGGACACAGTGAGTTTGTCAAAAGTAAAAAAACGTTCTATCGACTTAATGGCAGACTGCACAATCTCGTGATCGGTTAATGATTCTTAAATAATAGTCTTCAGGGAAAACTGCGTGGGGGAGGGGGATGTTATGTTATTGAGGTTCCTTGCGTTAAAATAGTATTTTATTTATCAAGAAAGTTTTTTTAAACTACTACCTGCCTGTTTGTCTGTGGGTATTCCTCTTTAACCACTCTAAGCAGTAGCTCAGAGGACAAATGGGGTTGTGTGGGAAATGAAACATCATTCATAACTTTCACTACCATATCACGTGACCATGGTCACAATGTGATAGTGGCTATCACAGAATCTGCATCTCCGTAATAATGCAGATGACTTTAATTTTAACTAAAGATAATAACAAAAGGCGTTTCGTGATGTTTGTGTCATTTTATTTCGCTTTTATCTCCACCAGCACATGAGTGGCTTTGGAAGGACAGAAAAAAAACGTAGCAACCAGATAATCTGCAGTGGTTTCTAATAAACTGAGGATGTGGATCTTTATTTCAATAAATGGGAGTTCTGAACATTTACGTTAGCAAACATTTCTTGTCAAAGCCCTGCTTATCGCTGCATTTATTGTCCCGTTTGATTGCAATAAACATTAACAAACGCTCTTCTTCTTAATATCCATGGTCCGCGCCGCACAACTTCCTCAAAGCTTACGAACTAGCTCTACTTTTTATGCCAATTCAGGATGTACAGACGCAACAAAACGCAACACTGCCCCCTGGGTTCACAAATTGTGATGGGTCGCAGAATTTGGTGCAACACCGGCGCTGCAGACTGCACCGAGATGCAGGAGGGGCAGGTAAGATGCTTTTGGGTGGTTTGGATCTAGAAATCGAGACGCTCCCCCTGCAGCGCGGATGCTGCTGCAGGATGGAACCAGCTGCAGCTGCAACCTGCAACTGCGTCGTGTTACGATTTGTGCAACATGAAATGACTGGGTGTAGATTGTGGGCGCAGACGGAGGGAGGGATAAAAGGGGGCCGTGGGGGCGCCATCAGTCGCTGCATCGCTGATCCTGCGTGACCGCGCTGATATGAATGGAGAAGTGAGGCTCAGATTATAAATACTCCACCTCTGGCCACTGCCAAACACTCTGAATCCGGAGAGACCAGAGCACTCCCGTCAAGCCCGTTTCCTTGCATTTGGCCATGACGCAAGTCCCCAACAACTTGGCAGGCGAGGTAGGAATTCTCCCTGATCAGCGGAGCGGGTCTGAGAGAAAAGGGCACTTCTATGAACGATGATTTGGGTCAGATTCAGAACGGCTGGTTTGCAGGAGTGCGTGCAGGAGCCAGTTTGATCGTGTTTCTAATTATGACCCAGTTCAGTTAATCTGTGGAGTGCAACAAACAAAAAATCTAATTAAATAGGACGATTTCAAGTTGTCTTTCGTATAAAACACCCGTTACAGATAGAAGCAGGTCTGCGTGCGCGCCTGTGGACGTTAACATACTTTATTTAAGAGCATATGCATCATACCTGCCACAGCTTTTGAACCGAACCTGTTCTTCGGCTTTGCATTGTTGGTGTCAGCTGATGCTCTTTAGTGCTTTGTCTTCAGCGTGTCAGTTCACTCACTGGCTCCTCTGCTCCTGCTCTGTTCACATCTTCCCTGGGTGAGTTTAAACCTTCTGTGACACTTTATTGTTCTAAAGCTTTGTGTTAAAGTTTATAATTTTAAAACATTTCATTTAAACCCTCTCAGATCGAGAGATGCAGATGCAGGCTAGTGCCAAAGGTGCAGGTCAAACAAATGCTCCAGATTAAACAATGAAATTTCCCTAATCTCCCTGCTGGAAATTGAGATATTCTGGATTAAAGGAGTGAGTTAGTTGGAAAACCACAAAAGGAGGCTGTTTTTAGAGATTACCAGACTCTTTTAGAACCCGCACGATTTGAACGAGGAATAGCAGTCTGCTTCTGTTTGTGAACTTCTGCTTTTTGGGTGAAATAGCTTTTGTTTGTGTTGTTTGAAGCTTATTTGCGAGCAGTTTATTCATTTTAAAAAGAATGCTTTCTGTTTTACATCCACTCATATTAACGCTCAAAGCTCAAATTCAAGACTCAGATGATAACTTCAAATTATCAATGAAATATATATCCCATAATACTTCAACTTAGAAAGTATAGTATCAAAAGCTTTCCTCAAATCAATAAAACGACCCACGGTGTATTGTTTCCTTTCTGTTGCTGTTGTGATTCTTCATTTAATTCTAGTGCCAAGGATATAGATGTATTTAATCTAAATCCATACTGATGCTCACTCAGCAATTTATTGTTCTCAATAAAGCTATCTAGTTTTTGTACAAACCACTTTTCAAACAGTTTAGAAAACTGGGGAAGCATTGAGATTGGTGTTTAATCATCAAAACTATGTCTATCGTCATTTTTACATATTGGTATTATTTTAGCAGTTTTTTTCAAAATATACCACTCTGAACAGACAAATAAATACACAGTAAGTAAGAGGTTTAACAGCATAATCAATTGTTTTCTTCAAAATAATCGTATCGGTCCGATTGTTTGAATCCCCTCAGGAATCCTGATGACAAACTGAGGAACACGTGTGTTAGCTAGCTTTCTTTTGTCTTCCAGGAGAAAATGAAAGCTGATTTGGAAGCACCACTGCCTGTTGTCCAGGAAGATTTTGCAATCCGGTGCAGAGATGTGTGCCGGTCATACGGAAAACTGAAGGTCCTCAGCAACCTGAACCTGACAGTACCTCAGGGACACATGTAAGTGCTGCAGCTGGGTCGCTAACAGACACATTCAATGGACTTGTCCTCCTTGTTTTGGTCATCTGATATGTTCTCAGACTGTCCTCGGGGACAACGTCAGAGTTTCTTAAATCAAATCATCTTCTGCTTTTAAGATAGAAAAGATAGAACCCTTCATCGGGGCAAGAGTGTCAGAGAACAGTTCAGAGAAAATACAGTGTCCCGGATCAGGCTTCTTAGAAGGAGTCAAAAGCAGCATGTTCTTTTGTCAAGTGTCTGTCGATTCACATATTTACACTCCACCTCTCTACGCTGACCTAAATTCTTGTGTCCAATAAGATCAGGAAAAACAAATTCTCAAAAATTCTTCAACCTTCACATTTCAGCTCTTGTCTGTGCATCAAATCTGTCAGAAATGATAGAAATGAAAACAATGTTAACCCTCCCACTGTCCTAATGGGTGTGACCCTGCGAGGAAAGTGTACCAGCATGGCTGTTGGTTTATCCCTTGGGTCCATGTGGCAGAGGTGAGGAGTGAGCACCACCTCACCCCTGCCACGTGGACCTCAAGGGATAAACCATCAATCCTCCTCAATGGTCAACTTTCCTCGCAGGGTCACACCCATTAGGACAGTGGGAGGGTTAACATTGTTTTTTGTTATTTATCATCCCTTGAAATGTGCAGAATGACAAAAAAACAGATGTAATGTTCAATTTGTGATCTGATTACTTTATTGTTGTGTTTTTTAAGAAGGTAGCAAGTAATTTTCAGACACCCTGGCTGTCTGGGTTGATGGAGTCAGGACGGTCTGCACCTTGTGTTCAGTGCAAGGTTGTGTGATTTCGGCATGTCATGCATTAAAAGTCAGTGACAGCTGCTGCTACTGACGGCATGTGAGCACAAAATGTTATCGTAGTAAAATATATTTTAATTAAAAGCAGCAAATAAACATGTGAGTGCTGAAATAAAGCTCTAAATTTCCATTTAAGTCAAGATTTAACAAAAAAAAGTTTTTTCTGATCCTATTAGTCAATATGAGGAACCGGTTTCTACTTATGCTGTCAAATCTTAGAGAATCTAAAAAATCAGGTTCTGTTTGCACATAATCTGAGTTAAAGCCTGGTTTTAGCTCACCTGACTGCAGGCATTGGTGCAAATGTTTCACTTTCTGGAACAAAGTAGCTTTCAGATGACACGCTTCAATAACCCACGAGTCTTTGTGCGCCATGCTCTTTGTTCTGATGTTTTGTTTCTTTTCTGAGGAATGAAACATCGCACATCCCATATCAAGTCTAATTTTTCTTTTAACTGTTACTGTAAAGTGTGTGTGTGATTTACCTTTGTAGTTACGGCCTTCTGGGGCCCAGTGGATGTGGAAAGACCACGCTTCTAAAATGCATGGTGGGAACTTTGAAGATCTCCCGCGGCCACATAACCGTCTTGGGAAAACCACCCGCTTTTCCTGGTCATGAAGTTCCAGGGAAAATGGTCGGCTACATGCCACAGGTGAGAAAAAACATGATATTTTATCTGTGGTTTGCTTGTGGAAGATTTTAAACTGAAATATGTACAAAAGCAGCACTCGAGTCCTGTTGCTGTCACAGCTGAGAACAGGGATTCCCTCCAGGGCTTCCGTATTTTCAGCCTTTATTGTTTAATGATGTGACCCTGCGTTTTGCCTCATTGCAGTCAGTTTAGATTTCAGATGGAGCCATTAACACAAACACCATGTTTCCTCCTACGTGAAACCTTAAGCATCACGCTCCACCCAGGAGGTGACCTTTAACCTGAAAGACCCTGTAGCCTGATTCATAGTCAGTCCAGCCAGTCTGTTTCTGTAGGATTAAAGCCAGAATTAATTTAATCCAGGAGTGGCAGCAGCTTGTGACACGGTGGTGTTTTTTTTTTTTTGTTGCACAGGAGTTGGCGCTGTACAACGAGTTCACCATCAGTGACACTCTGACTTTCTTTGGGCGAATCCACGGCCTGACATCAAAAGAAACCCAGGCTCGCATGAACTTCCTCATCGACTTCCTGCATCTACCTCAAAAGCAAAGCCTGGTCCGAAATCTCAGGTAGAAACAACCCAAGCATCTGACGTAGTTTGAGAGACTGTTGTGTTCTAAATGTCCATTTATGCTCTAAATCATATGAATTACTCTAATGCAGTTATTCGTTGGGTGTTTCAGAGACAAACAGATGCATTTGAGAGGTGTGGACAGCCCACAGGTATCATACAGACAGTTTATGATGCTCTGCAGCCTTTGAACCCTAAATAATCATAAAACACTCAGAGACAAACATTTTCTTTCTTCTTGGAGGTTGTAAAACAACAAACCGACGATGAACAGCCAGGGGAAAGTCAAATAGAAAGGAGCTTTATTGCTGCATGGCTAAGTTAAAGAGAAAGTACTACAGTTGTCACAGACAGAGTAGTGTGTGGTGAAAATGGTCCTTCTCCTTTGACGGAGGAGAGCAATGAGCTACAGACACACTCGAGAACTGTTTGGTGGTTTAACCCCTCAATCCAACCCCTGTTTACTACTGTTTACTATTTTATGAGTGTAAACACACAAAGCGGCTCAGTCGGATATGACATTCTAATATTTCATATTAATGTCCAGTGAGATGATAAATCAGTGTGTAAAGAATAAATAAGACTGTTAAATGTCTTCATCAGTGTTTTATACATTCACTATAATGTTTCTGTAAACTCTGCAGGCTGCAGATGAGGCCGTCATTACTTCCTTCTAGTAGTTTTGCATCGTATGTAAGCTAGGAGGAATTTCTGTTGCATCACTTCAGAAAACAAAACGTTCAGATTTTACAATCTCACCTGATCGGTGTCTCCTGGTTCTTTGTATTTTTTTCATCCAAACTACAGAGCCATGCAGTCGTTCCAGTTAGCTGCTTTTTGGATATTTGTGACCTTTGCCTTAACCCTCCATTTAATCGTTTAGTGATACGAACATGCAAGTCGAGTAAAATGAATTCTAAATTATGTCTTATATGATTTCCGTGTCTGAAATGAACAAAAAATCTACATTTCACGATTAAAGCCCTTATTTCCTTATCAATGATCACAATAAACATGTTTTATTTGTCACAAAAACATTTTTGCTCCCGTTTCCAGTGTGACTTTATGAAATATTTAAGTCATGCAGGGAGATATTTGAGTGTTTTTATAGAACATTTTGCTGATAAACACTTATGCTAGTTTTCATGTTGCAACTACAGATGCTCATTATTATCGGTCTTCCATTAATATCGACCAATATCAGAATTAAAATTTTATAATGGAATATATCAGTTTTCAGTCTTTTAATTACACAACTTTTACATGTCATACACACATTACCAAACTCTTCAGCTACTTCTCTTCTCTCGCAATATCAAAAAATTTCAGATCTGAGGTAAAGAGTTTGAGATATTTTAGTTTATTTGGCACAACTTGTGAAGTAGAAATGTTCCCGGTGTGTTTTGACTAAAACAAAAACGAGAATCTTCACCCAGGGCTTGCTTTCCTTATCTGAAGATCTTTAAAGATGTTTAACTGCAATATACAGAAAAAGGAAAAATACGTATTAGCCAATACGCATACTGTCGCGCTTAGGGAGAATGTCGTTCTGCTGCTGTTGGAGACAAGTTAAAAATGGCAATTTTTCTATTACTAACTTAAACTGAGGTAGTTATTTTGCACAGAAAATGTTTAAAATGTAAGCATGCATGATAGGAGAAACGTGATGTTAGTGACTTAAAATGTTTTAGTTTTTCTTTTTTATGAGATGAGACACAGTTTATATCTGTATATCGGATATTGGTAAAAAAAAAAACTATGTCAACATCAAGTATCCATAGATGCAAAATGTTTGTTGCTAATAATTTTTTAAATATTAAAAGAAAATCTTAAGGAAATAAATGCTCGACATATTTATGATGACTGTCTCTGCATCAGGTCATTTCACCTGGTTTGTTCTTGAATGTCCCTCCCTCATCTCAAGATGTCCTGTCTGGCAGGTTTTTTCACCCTTTCACCTCCCTCAGGATGGAGATCAACGGAAACAACCAGAGAAAGTTTTTCTGTGTTCCTTCTGAGTCCAGTTTCCTGTTTGTTTCAGTGGGGGTCAGAGGAGAAGAGTTTCCCTCGGAGCCGCTTTGCTGCAGAATCCAGAGCTGCTCATCCTGGATGAACCGACAGTCGGAGTTGACCCTGTGCTCAGGGCAAAGTATGTAACACTCCTGTTTTCTCTGAGTCATGCACGCTGTCGCTCGCAGGCCTTTGATCACTGTCATTTTCCACTTTGTCCAAGAAATAAAAGAAAAAAAGTCAAAAATTAGACCAAAACACAATTTAGATTTAGGTTTTGTTCGTTTTTCAGCACTAGATGTCTGGTTAGTTTAGGTTTTTGCATTGAGGAGAAACATAGATGTTTTGTTCTTTTCTTACTTCTGAGATCTCAGCATGTCTTCATTAGGATTTAGATTATCACCACCTCCCTGATCTCAAAACGGCATTCCAGACTTTCTATTCATTAGTTAACTCTCACGATTATGGCTAAGACGTTTAAAAATTAAAAAATTTACTCATTTTGTATCAAATGCATCCAAAGAATTTTTTTTTTTTTGCAGATTTCTATGAAGTTAATGATGATGAGAAATTTCTGCTGTGACTGAAAATCAGTTACAAAGAACTGATTAGTCAAATTAACACAAAGTTGCTCCAAATCAGTCACACTTCTGTGAAACTGTCCACTTAGGAAACAACATTGTTTGACAATCAATTTCACCTGCTGTGTAAATAGAAAAGACAACAGGTGGCAATACAGACAATTAGCAAGGCATGAAGGAGTGGTCCTGCAGGCAGTGACTACAGACCACTTCTCAGTTCCTATGCTTTCTGGCTGATGTTTTTGTCACTTTTGACTACTTTTGGCGGTGCTTTCACTCAAGTGGCAGCATGAGACAGAGTCTACAACCCACACAAGTGACTCAGGTAGTGCAGTTCATCCAGGATGGCACTTCAATGCAAGCTGCCTGTCAGATTAGTGTCCAGAACATGGAGGCGCTATCAGGTGACAGGCCAGCACATCAGGAGATGTGGAGGAGGCCGTAGAAGGGCAACAACCCAGCAGCAGGACTGCTACTTCCACCTTTGTGCAAGGAGGAACAGGAGAAGCACTGCCAGAGCCTTGCAAAATGACCTTCAGCAGGCAACAAATGTGCATGTGTCTGCTCAAATGGTCAGAAACAGACTCCAAGAGAAGTGTATGAGAGCCCAGCGTCCACAGGTGCGGGTTGTGCTTACAGCCCAACACTTTTGGCATTTGTCTGAGAACACCAAGATTGGCTAATTCACCACTGGCACCCCAGTGCTCTTCACAGATGAAAACAGGTTCACACTGAGCACATGTGACAGACATGAGTCTGGAGATGCAGTGGAGAATGTTCTGCTGCCTGCAGCACCCAGCGTGACCGGTTTGACAGTGAGTCAGTAATGGTGGGGGGTGGTATTTCTTTGGGGAGGCCACAGAGCCCTCCATGTGCTCACCAGAGGCAGCCTGGCTGTCATTAGGTACCAAGAGGAGATCTTCAGACCTCTTGTGAGACCATAAACTGGTGTGGTTGGCCATGGGTCCCTCCTAATACAAAACAACGCTAGCCCTCATGTAGCTGGAGTGTGTCCGCAGTTCCTGCAGGATGAATGCATTGATGCTATGGACTGGCCCGCCCATTCCCCAGACCTGAATCCAATTGAGCACATCTGGGACATCAAATCTCACTCCATCCACCAACAACACGTTGCACTACAGACGGTCCAGGAGGTAGCAGATGTTTTAGTCCAGGTCTAGGAGGAGATCCTTCAGGAGACCATCCACTACCTCATCAGGAGCATGGCCAGGCATTGTAGGGAGGTCATACAGACTCGTGGAGGCCACACACACACTACTGAGCCTCATTCGGACTCGTTTTATGGACATCACATCAGAGTTGGACCAGCCTGTTGTGTGCTTTTCCAATTTAATTCAGAGTGTGACTCTAAATCCAGACCCCATTTGATTTCCATTGATAATTTTCATATGATCTTGCTGTCAGCACATTCAACCATGTAAAGAACAACGTATTTAAGAAGAATATTTCATTCAATCAGAACAAGAATGTCTTTTTTTTTGTGTTCCCGTTATTCTTTTGAGCAGTGTAGTTTGTTTCTTTTGTTAACTGTTATAGTTGCTAGATGGCATGTATTCATTTTAAATAGTCTTCATTAAAGATAATTTATCTTGATGATGCTGTAGTTCTGGAAAAATGTCACCTTCTGTAAACCGTTTGTTCCAGGATCTGGCAACATCTGGTGGAGATCGTCAAGACGGGAAAAGTCTCTGTTATCATCACCACCCACTACATAGAGGAGGCCAGGCAAGCCCATGTGGTGAGATACATCATATGAGCCCATGCAAACGCTGCAGCCGCGTGCATTTACATTAACACACAATCAGCACAAACTCGAACATGCAACAGCAACACAGACAGGAAATCATTAGGACAAAGTGCTTAAGAAGTTTTTTTTCTCTCCTCATGGAAACATAATGAGTCTGTGGATGAGCTGCAGTGTTTATTAGCGTTGACAGGAGGAACAAAACAGAGTCAGTGAGTACACGAGTGAATGAGGCTGCACACAGGTTCCCCTGTGTGTTTATTTAAGTGTGCTTCTGCATGTTTCTGCACTGCAAACTACTGCCATAAATAATCCCCAGAGAACAAAATGTGGTTTAAACTGCAACTACGTTCAACAGCACTAGTCTGCCTTCGTTCTGCTTGAGTCAAACATGCTGAAAAACTGATTAGGCATCACGTTTTAGGATGTTATGCACAACAAACTCATATTTTGTTTTCTTATTATTCACTCATACGTTGAGGCAGGAATTAACTTTTTATGCTTCAGATCGGGGGATCAGCACACACAGGTCAGATTCAATAAAAAACACAAAAATCTGTGCTGTGTGACAAGAAAACACAGGCCTCTCACTAAAATCGTGTTTGTCACTCATTCCTGACCAAATTTAACTAAAAACTGCAACTTTTTAATTATTTATGAGGATCTTAGTCAAGCCACAGCTCATATATTTGTTATAGACTTGGGCCACTTTAAAAACCTACTCTCAGTTCACCAACAATCCACTAAATCTCTGAGTTCATTTATTGTTTTCCTAGTAATCCTCTTTTTAAAGCCCAAGAAGGCAACTGCAGTCTGTGAAGTACATTATTTTCCTGGAAGCTATAATTTAATATCGTAAAGGCGTTTATGGATTTCTGCTAAAACCTGAAGACGAAAATTTGTCCAAATATTATTATTGTTACAAAAACCATGAAACGCTTTTGGAAAATTTCGCTTTTCTCAAACATTTTGGGTATTTGCTCAACTTTTCAGACTCTGTTCTGCAACTGGAGAAGTCGAACTGGATGCAAGTGAAATAACAGTTTCACATGACCTTTAGCTGACACTGCCAAAACACCATGTGACATGTGCACCAATCAGATTTTTATAGCAGCACTGTTTTTAAACGTGCATTTGTTGCACAGTCAGACGTTCTTTAAGATTTTTATTTTAAGCTTTTGAACTTTGAATGCCAGTCAGAAATGGTTTTTGGATGCTAAGAATATCTTGAAATTTTCAAATCTGACAGATAAACAGTTTTTTGACTGCAGCTATTAAAAAGAACAACATATTTCACATTTTTATTGTTTTGCAAACAAGTCAGGAGGTATTTAGTGTTCATCTGCAAATAAGCAGCTACTCGCTGAAATAATTTCACAACTTGTCTCAGTTTTAGTGGAGCGATTCCTAGCACATGCTGGTTTTAGTGGGGTTTATTAAGCTTTCCAGCCTGGCACCAATAATTCAATGCCAGTAGCTATCCGTAAATTCCTTTTATACCCCACTAGAAGTGAACCTGCTAGCTAGTCAGACCCACAAGTCATCAACTCACAACGCTAAGCTTCCTTTTCAAGCAGATCTATTCAAATCAGACACAAGAACTTTTGTCTTCTCACAAGTGTTAGAAAGTCTACCCACTAAAACCAGTCAAACCACTTGAGTTAAATGGCAGACTGACAGGAGACAGTCACAAGACAACTGATGATGCAGACAAGCTTATTAATAGTTTTATTTACGACTTTGCCTAAACAGTTGTGGGGTGGTGTTTAGCAAACAGGTCAAGGATGCTGTTCTACTTTTAGAGGAAGAGTTCTTCCAGATATAGTCAAGCTGACAGGTTAATTAGATAAGACCTATAAAACTCTGCTTTTATCTGGCTTTTAGCATCAGGTGTAATCTTTGATCATTCTGCAGGTTTAGGTTACAACATGTTCTGCAGAAATGAATCTGCACTGGCTATCAGCGAGTAATCAGCATGACAAAAATGTCAGCTTTGGATTAACGGTAAACACAAAATTAGTATTTTTGTCTGGTCCAGGTTAGAACATACTTATCAGGCTTTCCTATCAGAAATTGGGAATATAAAGAAAACTTTACAAATCAAAATGCACAGGACTAGTGGAAAAGGAATCCCGGACAAGACCCCAATTGTGTTACAGCTCTCAAGCAAATGAAAGGAGATGAAAAAAGGGAAATGTCAAATATGTGTTTTCATTATTGCAACACACACACACACACACACACACACACACACACACACACACACACACACACACACACACACACACACACACACACACACACACACACACACACACACAGAATAGATGCTCCACAGATGGCAGGAGAAAGTGATTTGGGTTTTGTCAGAGGAATGGAATCAATGCAACAAAACAGGACTTGACTCATGGCTTGTCTATAAACAAAATAACTTAGAGTTGTCTTTAAACTGCAATTATAATCTACTTTATTTCCCTGTTTTTGACGAGTCACAGGTGCTAACCGTTTTTAGGAATTTGAAATACATACGGGTGAAACTGGAAGAATTATAATATAGTGCAAAAGTTAATTTATTTCAGTAATGTATTTAAAAGGTGAGATATACTCATTACATGCAAAGCAAGATACGTCAAGTCTTTATTTTAAGGATGTTCAATATTATCGTTCTACCATTATTATTGGCCAATATCGGCATTAAAATTTAATATCAAAACATATTGGTATTGTTTTTCAGTCTTTTAATGACACAACTTTTACACATTATACAAATGTTATACATCAAACTCTTCAGCTACTTCTCCTCTCTCTCAAAATGTCAAAATATACAGATCTGAGGTCTATTGTTTGAGATATTTTATGTTATTTGACACACCGCACATAGCTCCATGTAGTTAAACAGCTAACAAACTACTAAAACAAGAGTGGTTTTCCTTAACTGAAGATCTTTATGCTTATTGCTGTAACTGCAATATGCAGATGAAGAAAAAGCACATTACTAACCAATGCATACTTAGTGTCACTATTAGGGACAATGACATTCAGCTGCTGTTGGAGACTAAATAAATCCCTTTCCTATTACTAACTTAAAATCAAAGTAGTTGTCCTTTTGACAGAATTTTTTTTAAATTTAGGCATGCATGATAGAAGATATGTGATGTTGTTGACCTAAAATGTTTTAGTTTTCTTTTTTTATGAGGGGGACCCAGCATTTATCAGTATCGGAAATTAAGAGTCGACAGTATCGGAAAATCAGATATTGGTTAAAAAAGCCAATATCGAGCATCCCAACTTCCATTGTTATAATTGTTAAGATTATGGCTTACAGCTTTTGAAAAGTCCTAAATCAAAATCTCAGAAAATTAGAAAAAGGTTCAATATTCTAGACTCAAAGTGTCACAATCTATTCAGATAATGAATCCAAAACACCTGCAGAGTGTTCAAGATCCTTCAGATGGTCTCTCAGTCTAAGATGAAGTCAATGGAATTTTACATCATATTCTCATTTTTTTCAGCTTTCACCTGTAGTCAAACAGCATGTTGGGTTTTGTGCTGACTGTTTTAGTGAACCTTTCTAGGTACTTTTTATATGCATTTGATTAACAGCTTTTCACTTGCTTTTTGTATTTTTTTAATTTCCATATTTCATTTGACAGAAATGTCCTTATCTGATTGTTTCTTGAAGGTTGGTCTCATGCGAAATGGCTATTTGCTGGCAGAAGGTCCTCCAGAGGAGGTGATGAAGCAGCACAGTGCAACAGTGAGTACAGTTCTCCTCCCCTGAATAAATCCCTGGAGGGTTACCGGCCATGGTGGGAAAGTTGCTTTTGAGCCCGCAGATCTATGCAAACTAGCTCTATGTTTTTGTTTTTCTGTGACCAGAAATTAACAAAACAGTGGTGCATATTGTGTAAAGCAACACTTGTTCTACCCTATTGTCCACTTCTGCAGACCCTGGAGCATGCCTTCCTCCAGCTCTGTGAGACATCAGACCAGAACTCCTTAGGTCGGGAGTCCAGTCCTCAGGGAGGATCGCTGGAGAAAAGCCAATCATTTGAGATCGGGCGTGATGAGAATCAGCCAATCCTTTCAATAGGACCACCTCCTGCAGAAGAATTTCCTAAATGTTCAGGTAGTAACTGGCATGAAAAACATGTAGCCCAGCTGGATATTTGATACATAATCACACCAGATGGACACAGGACCTTTCCTCCATCACCCTCTCCGTTTTGCATCAGAAAAACTACAAATCTGCTCTATCTGATCTTGTCCTCCTTTATCTTATTGCTTTTGGGATTGTCCCATTTAACTTATGACTGCAGGCTATGCAATTCACTCTTCAAACACACTTTTTTGAGCAGCTTCATGATCATCTGAAAGTCCTTATCTTCACATTAAGGCATTTTGAAGATAACTGATACCAGGTGTGCCATTAAGAAGTGCATCACTTTTCGTTTTGCCAAATGACCGTTTGAACTCTGTTTTATGCTTCACTGATATATTTTGCTATTTGATCCCTAAAAAAAATTCCTCTTTCGGGCTGTTAGTGCCGTGAACCGCAGCTTCATTTGCTACTTATCTGCACTAAAAACCTAAATTAAGATCAAAAACATATTTTAACTTTGTGTTTTGTGGTTCAGCTGACTGGAAGGCACGAGCCAGACACGTGCTGCCAAAGGGGAGAAACATTGCAGCGCTGGTCATTAAGACGATGGTGCGGATGAAGAGAATGCCGGGGTTGGTTGAGTTTTATTATCTCCTTATGAACGGCAGAAGAAGAAGCAGTCACTGACCTTCGCTCCTGTGTTTTTGCAGCTCGCTGTGTTTCCAGTTCCTGCTTCCCGTCATCCAGATTTCTCTCATCTGTCTGTGTGTTGGAGGCGAGCCAAAGGGGATCCAGGTTGCCGTGGTGAATAACGACACCTCCCCCTCCTCTTATAGCACCTTGCTGCTCACCTTCCTGGACAACTCTAGCGTGCATCAGGTTTGCAGACTTGTTTTTATTATTCAACTTTATTTAGCTTCATGCATCAATTATAGCAGAAGCCGAATGAATTCACACTCTTCCATTCTAACACAGTAGTTTTCTTCAGGAGTATACTTGTACAGTTTGACTGACGTAAGAAACATGCTTTCACTCAAGAATTTATTTTTACTCAAATGCGTTTCACTTCGTTTTACAGTAGAATAAACTTCCATTTTTCTAAGAAACTTGGGAAGTTTCTTTGTGACGCAGATGATGAAAATTTAAACCCACTGCCTCATGCAAAAACTGTCTGATGAGTTTATGGTATTCTCTCCAGGTACCACTGCCCCACAATGAGGCATTTGAAGGGGTCTATACTGGAAAGTACTGGGGTGTGATTGGTTTTGGAAAGAATTTCACCAGTTACCTGACAAAAAGGTGAGACAAACAGACCAGTATGATAAAAATAACCAGCTGCAAAAGTCTTGTGAGCTCTTATGTGATGTTACCAAAATGATGCAAGTCAATGGAAAAGTCTTCAATACAAATGTGTAAAGAGTGGTGTGTTATCTGAATGTAAAACACACAACATTTCTTATACTTTCCCTAAATATATCTCCACTTCTAATTTAGACCAGTGGTGCTCAAACTTTGCTACATTTCGTAGTATATCTCACATCAAAAAATATTAGGAGCGACTTATTAAGAAAACTTAATGAGAGCGGCTTCAATTGCAATAAAATCAAGTCATATCCAAGATAAATGGAAATTTACGGCAGTTCAGAGACCGCCCCCATACCTACTAAATGCCGCCATCAGGTAATCACAATCGCGCCACATTACCGCTACGGTCTGACCACGTGTAAACGACCTAACGCTCCTTGATGCACAGCGTTGTGGCAAATTGGAAGCATAGTTTTGTAAAAACGGCTATACACGCTTACTGTAGAGGGGATGAATGACCTACGGTAGCTTTCTGTTTTACTTCTGGGATGTCTCAGTTTGCCTCTGAAGGAGCTGTCCACGGACTCCTCAGTGCAATGCAGTGGGTGGGAGGGGTTTATAAAGAAATAAAATACATCTGCCAAACTTTAGGCCCAGGACAGTTTTATACCTCAAACTGACCCACTTTAGATCATGACCTGTTATCAATATTATCACTCATTCTTTACATCAATCAGAAAATTCTGTGATGTTCACAGATATCCAAACCTTAGAAATGAAATAAAATCAATATTAAAATTTAAAATGATTATTATTCTTTTTCATTAAAGATCAGTTATCTGTGAACACTTTTTATATTTGACATCATCCAGCTCAAGCAGACATCTGTTTATTTCTAACAGAGCTGAGCTGTGGGAGAAAATATTCAGGATTACCTAATCTTATTTTCCATCACCTGTGGGTGTAGTGTTTTCACTTCATATTAATTATAAAACTGTAAATAACAGGTCACTACAGTCTGGTTTCTAGGTACTAAAGCGTATTCAGGAGCAGCTCACCTGTTCCTGACAGGAGAAATCCTCTCATCAGCAGCAGGTGTTCAAGAATGTACCACGAGTTAACACTGGCCCGAAAAAACAAAAAGACAGCTAAAAACACCGACCAGACTGGCCCACCGAGAATTTTCCCTGTCGGGTCCTGTTCCACCCGCCATCCCCGTTAGACAGGAGTTGCTGATCACATTAACTCACACACCAGCTGGCTCCGTTGGCGCTTATTAGTGCGACTATATTCTACAAAGTTTTCATAAATAAACGCACAACTTAGATCTGTGACTCGTGCTTGAAACCATCCCCTCCAACCGTGCGCCGTCTGTTGGTTTTGTGTATAGAGAGGGACGGGAGCTCTGTGTGACTGGTCAGTCATTGAGCGTGAAGACAGTCGGTTACCCAATGATTACTTTTATTCAGCACAAATACAGATATTCATGGGTTTTACTCGTTTTATGCTCGTACTCGTCAAAAATGCTTTATCTGTACCCTAATTTCTCTAATGTCTGTAAGTTTTTGTTGGGTGTGCCCTGGTACCAGGTGATCCCCAGACCAATATCAGTCCACGGCCCGGTGCTTGGGAACCCTGGTTTAATCTGGGATTAGTAGGACAAATTCTACAAGAAATAAATGATTAAAAATGATCCTTATTTGTAAATTAAATGAATAAATAAAGCTGCCTATTTAAAATATTAAGAATTAGAATTGAAAGCTTGGGTTCTTGATTATTGACCAGATATACAGGAAACCATGTCCTCAAAAAATGTTATTTAATAGCTGTTTTCTTCCTATGGTTAGAAATAAAAAACAGTTCTGACGGTTCTGAGTGAAATTTAATGAAGATGTTTGACTTGATGTTGCTGACATCAGTGATCAGACTCTAATTAAAACAAATGAACACTCACTGATCAGATCAGAGCTAAATCTTTCTGATTAGCTTCATTTATTACTGGACGTGTCCGAACTTGTTTGGGTGTAATCTAAACTGTTTTCATGTACGTCTCTTCTTCCCACTTCTCAAAACTAACTATTTTATTTCCTTGTCAAGTCTTCACTTCCTCGTTCGTTGGTACCTCTGGAGCGTTTTTATTTCTTTTTTTTTGCAGACTGCTCACATCTTTGTGTACTTGCAGCACAGTTCAGGTGACCGATGACTGCGTCACGCTGAGGTTTGACTCCGTGAAACATGCTAATGTGACAAAGTGCATTTAGCTACAGGGCCGAGACAAACTCACCTCACTGAGGAAAAATGTTCAGCTCACATGGCTGCAAACACACAGAATGTTCAGAAAAGCTAAAGGAGGGGAAACTTGTTTGAATTTTTTAAACTTCAACCCTCTTATGTGTGCAACAGAGATTTACAACATATAAAAATATCATTTCAAGAAATTTTTCTTTAAATTTTAGTGTCAAAGTTTTACTGTCACAGCTGAAAACTCAAATCCAATAAACTAAAATATGATTTGACGTAAAAATTGTGACAGGAGTCTTTTTGAGTTTCTAAAATATAACAATATTTGAGCAGTAATTCATCTGTGATCATTCTCTAAACCCCAAAATAGGAATCACACATTTTAACTAAAACAACTTACATTTATAACAAAAACAAATCATGAAAGAGCTATTATTTTATTCTGCACTTTAAACACAGTTAATTTTAAAATAGCATAGATATTTTTAAATATATGTTCTAAAATGTCCCGTTAAAAAGGTATTTTGTTGTTTAGGAATATTAGAACAAGTCTTGTCCCGGAATAATTTGGGGGAAAACTGGTTTATTTGTTCACATTTTTGCTCTCATGGGACCAAAAGTCCCTCAGAGTCCCACGCGCTGCCATCATGTGAGTGTGAGTCAGTCTTGAGGTGTTGTTTTCGTCGTGAATCACAGCATGTGATTCTCAGGTAGACGGTCTGGTCCTTCCTGTTCTTAAAACACCTGCAGGTCTCACTAGGGTCAGCCAATCCATCTCAGTGTCATATGATCGACCAGCTTAAGAGAAACAAAATGCGTTTGCTTGCAAGTCTCCCGGCAATGTGATAAACTGGGTTCTGCTTGTTTTTAATGTCTGTGTGAGCAAAGCATGATGGGTACAATGTAAAACTACAGGTAGATACAGACAGCTCGTCATCAGAGTGAAAGGTCAAAACAAATCCACCGTATTTCAGCATCTTATCCCTCCTGTTTTACATTGATCACTTCTCAATGTTACAGGTGTGTTTTCCAGATCCTGACCTTGTTCCTGGGTTTTATTTTCAGGGTTTTGCAACGGCAAGTCTCCAAGGAGGTGGTTGATGGAGGATCAGTTCATGTCTGGCTGGACCTGACGAGTAAGACCCTGTTTTTGGAGCATTTGTTTGGTCTATTTGCTAAATAGGACCATATATTTCCCAGTGTGATGCCAAAGCTTGCCGAAGGAACAATCCGGCATGTAAACAAGATGTGTTTGAGGTTCTACATCTGCTGTATAGATTTTTTTTAATCCCTTTTATAAAACTACAAAAAAAAAAAACTTAAATATAATCTATAGTCAGATTTTTTTGTGACTCAATGTGACCAAAGGTTTTTGTTCACTGTAGAGCTTTTTTTTTCTGTATTCTTTATTTTTTCTTTTTCTTTGCTCCTGCTGTGAATCTGATGCTGGGACACAAAATGTCATCACTATAAAACTATTTTATAATCTATTCTGTTTTCTTTTCTGTTATTCTGAAAGTTTGAAATTTTGCATTGTTATATTTTCAGATCGACAAATTGGCCTAATGCTACAGAAGGAGCTCCAACAGGCTTTTGAGGTACAATAATAACTTGATGAGTTAGTTTTCATAAATACCAAGCCTCCTTAAATGTGATACAGAGCCGTTTTCTGCACCTCCACCCTACTAGTTGAAAGTGGAATTACAACTGTCGTAAACAACCCTGCAACAGCCTGCTGTAGCTAGCGTTAACAATTAGCTAACACTAACATGGGCCAGCTAATACTAAAGTAAACCACAAAGTAAAAAGATCCACACTGTTGGACAAAAATATTATTACTTACAAGTCCAGCAGCAAAAAAGACAGGTCACCATAAGTCTGATTTTGTAGCCTCCTTTAGCTCCCTCAAACTAGCGTGAACCACGCCGATGTTTACTCTGGTTTTAGCTCTTTGCTTCACCTCCAAAACCATTACTCTGTTAAGCCTGGAGCACACTGTAGGCAGACACGCTGCGTCACGCCCAAGATTTTGAGAAGTGAAGTGATCACACAGGATACGCCGCGCTGCTGAGCTCTTCATGGAAAGTCACGCGATAGTCACAGCATCACGTGGGACCTGAGAACAGAAAGCGGGAAGTGTCTCTATTGTTTTTACGTGATCAGACTTGCCGTCCTGTTTTGTGAGATTCGGATTCCTTAAAAATGGTTATGTACGCTATTTATTTGAATATAGTACTTTAAAGTTATTAAAACTGCGGTTGAGTTTGTGTTGTACAGCTGTTCCGCGTCATAATGTCTGTTGTAAAGTACCTGCAATGTTGTAAACAGCGGTGCCATGGCGCTTGAGATAGAACTGGCAGCTGTCTTCAGCACCTCAGCGCGTCGCTTCTTGGACGTGGTGTGGCGCTCTCTGTGTGCCCACTCTCGTTCGCTATAATGGCTTCTATTTAAAATGATGGTGAGGGCGCGGCATGGGCGCGCCTCTGGTGTGCCCCAGGGTTAACTTTTACTTCCAGGCTCGGCCATGAAACAAACAGAAAAAACAGACTTCTTCTTTTTCTTCTTGCGCTTTTTATCGACAAACTGAAAATGCTAACTGCTAGCCTTACAGCTAACAGCCGTAAAGAGTGGAATTTTGGTCAACAGAGAGCTCTAGAGTGATATCAAATATTAAGCTGGTCAAGATTCTAACCCAACACTCACTGAGACCAATGTTAAAGCTCTAGCTTAAAGTAAAAAAAAAATATTTAGTGTTACTTTAACACATTAAATCTGCATTTTTCTCTATTTGCAGGCTTTTATGACTAATAGACTAGGAAGCATGTCATACCTGGCCGAAATGCCTGTGAAGGTAAGAGTTCAAGAAAAAAACAGATTCAAAAATCAGATAAAATGCTTTTTTGTCTTAGATATAAAAAATGGAGGTGATGTTACATTAAGTACCTGTCTTTTCATTTATTTGTTTTTTTCAGTTTGAAGAACCGATTTATGGAAGTCTAAACACAGACTTCACCACATTTGTGACTCCAGGAGCTGTTCTCAGGTCAGTACGAGTTAGAGAATAAACTATGACCATGTCAATTGCAAAAGTACTATTCTAATTTGGCGTAAGTACTTTTCCAAGTTGTTGTTTATTTTTCTACATTTTTGTGATTCGTCTGTGTTTCTGCAGCATCTCTTTCTACCTGGCTGTTGGCCTGACGGCACTCTCGTTCGTCCTGGAAAGGAAGGAGGGGCTTTTGGACAGGTGTTGGGTCGCAGGTGAGAAATCAGACACCGCGTTGCTCCAGCAATAGTATGACAATCCAAAACTTACATTTCAATTCCACAAATAGATCTGAACATGATTGTTTTAAGCATCTGTGCGAGTACTTTTAAAGTACCTTTAGCACCTAAAAATACTTTATAAAAATGTTTTTACATCAATCATTACTTTAAGTTTGTAAAACAAAAAAACATCTCTAGAAAGAAAGGCATAAATCTTTCTTATATATTTTGTTTAAAAGTTTTTAGAACAAAGGGCACATGCAGGAAGTTTATTTTTTTGTGCATTTTTCTGTAGCTCTTTTTCTGCAAGGAGAAGAATAAAACTAATTGGAAAGACATTTATTTTTCATGAGAATCAAGTCGATGCATTATTTAGGTGTAGTTTGAGACATGGCCAGTAGAGGGAGGAACATGATCACTGCTGATTGTGAAAACCATTTACGTGGAAGAGACAGAATGAGATGCTGCTCTGCTTTTAGTTTTTTCTCACTGTTTATTATCTTTTTGACAAACTGCTGCTGCCACTACGGTAGCCTAGAAGGGACAAACCAAATGTGATAGTACTAGTTTGAGCAGCAAAGACATCAATATCATACATCTTTTTCACATATTAATTAAGTAAAACTGTATATTTAGAATTATTTTATGTGTTTATAAAATAAAATCAACGTTGGTTGTTTTGTCTACCAGGTGTGAGCTCCATAGAGACGATGCTCGCTCACCTCTTCTCTCAGCTTTTTGTCATCAGCGTTCAGATCATCCTGATGCTCCTCTTCATCCTTCTCGTCTTCAAGGTAAAAAAAACACAACAAACACTCTAAATGTGTACTTTATTCAGGGTTAAACCGATGAACCCCAGAGGAAGCAGCAACGAAACATCTATTTCTGCAGCCAACTTGGTCTGAGTTTGACATGCAGGATGTATTTCTGACATATTCAAGGTTAATGTTTCACCAGCCTGCCAGGCCATTTCATTTACTCATTTGCATTTTACTGCATCAACAAAAATCTGACTTTACCTGCAGTAGATAAGAGCCATAATTATGGTAATAACATTTTAGAGTAGCCGACAAATAGCCTAAATTATCCGTCCTTTTGCAAGATCAGCTGACATTTTTGCTGTTAAACAAAGTAGTGCATGAGTCCAATACTGATTATCAATAGGTGTGTTTTTGGAATCAATACAATAATGGAGTCTTTAGACTGTGCGTGTATTTGCTGAGTCTGCAGACTTTTAAAAGCGCACGTGCACCAATATCTGCCATTGTGCATTCATGAGTGTGTGGTAATTAAGGTGCTGAAGTCCAAAGAGACCACCACTTCATAAATAATTTCCTGCATTGGCCGTATCCAGGTATCGCTGCAGGATCGCCACAACAACAGCGTTTGATTGCTGTAGCAACCGTGAGGTCATGTGGCCTCCGGGTGCAGGTCTATTTTTGCAGGTTGCCAAGGGAGATGGACTGAGTCCTAGAAGAGTTCACCAACATAAACGTTTCTGTTGAATTAAGAAAGTTTGTCATCGTGAATCTTCCAGCTTTGTAAATAGTGTCATCCTAGACTCTGTTAATTAGCAGCTAAGTCTTTTTTGAATCCTTTTTTATGTTTATTGTTTAATTTAGTCTGAAAATCAGAGCAAAACATTGTGTTTGTTCTTTTAAAGTAGTTATAAATGCAGTCTTTAAAACAATTTCAGACCAACACCAGGGAACATTCAGAGCTTTAAGTTAGTTGAAGGTGTCTGTTTTTTGTTTACTCTGTATCACAGGTTAGAAAAAGCAGGTTCACATTTTAATAGGTTATAAAAATGAACAGCTATGCAAATGTATTTTAGTCGATGATGCTAAATGCATATTGTCACATTCAAATGAGCATCTCTCATTCGATGTGGTGAAGTAACAGAAACAGAGCTTTAACTCAGTTCTGCTCCATCTGAAGATCTGGCAAGGTGCTTCCTTCAAATTCTGCCATTTTAGTAGCTGTTAGTTGGGCAGAGCTCTCGTGTGTGTGCCACTGGAATCGGTGTACCAGGAAATCATCCATGAAAAACGTTCCACTCTGCTTGAAAGGCAAACTGTGATCAGATGTGTCAATTTTCTGTGGCATTATTTTTTTCTAATGAATTAATCATAATTATCACATTAAATTTCTACCTAGTTAAAATCCAGTGTTTTGTCACCCGTTTAATGGTTTTATACATGCAGTACAGCCTTTTTTATGTCTGACTTAAATGCTGATGTGGTTTCTCACAGCTTACTTATTACTTTAACTTTAGTCTAGCTGCAGCTTTATTTTATTTATTTATTTATTAACTTATATTTCGAGAGGATAAACCACTTGAGATGAACCATCTTGTTTCCAAGTGGGTCCTCTATACAAATCAAAACAAATAGCAAACGAAGATAGCGAACAGTATTTCAATGCCACACATTGAAACCACAATAATAATAATAATAATAATAAATTTTTATTAATCGTCGTCGTCGTCTTCCTCCGCTTATCCGGGTCCGGGTCGCGGGGGCAGCATCCCAACTAGGGAGCTCCAGACCGTCCTCTCCCCGGCCTTCTCCACCAGCTCCTCCGGCAGGACCCCAAGGCGTTCCCGGACCAGATTGGAGATGTAACCTCTCCAACGTGTCCTGGGTCAACCCAGGGGCCTCCTGCCGGCAGGATATGCCCGAAACACCTCCCCAGGGAGGCGTCCAGGAGGCATCCTGACCAGATGCCCAAACCACCTCAACTGGCTCCTTTTGATCCGGAAATAAATTTTTATTAATAATACTGAACATAAAAATAATAAATAAAAAGATAAACACAAAATAAAGATAAAAGTGAAAAATAAAAATGAAAAACAAGTGCAGATGGGTATTAAATATTCTTACAAAGAGATTTTAAACTGAATTGTAGTGATGATTCTTAGGAAAACAGGCTAATTGTTCCAGTCTCTTGGTGCTTTGACAGAGAATGCCAGCATTCCTGACTCCGATTCAGAGAAAGGGATGACAAATGAAACAAGATGCGTTCTGCGAATGTGGTAATGAGATCTAAATGGTACTAGTAAGGTAGTTAAGTATGAAGGAAAATTAAAAGAAACACACTTAAAAATAAACAACAACCAGTGAAACTTCCGCCTAACTTCAGGTGTAAGCCAGGACAGTTGATTATACATATCTAAATTATTTCTATATGTTCTTTTTTTTATTTCTATTTCAACTTATTTCTTTCCTGCAAATAGCACAAACTGAAATAATAATTTCTAAAGAATATTCTAAGAATAAGATAATTCAGCGTTTGAAGGTTTTGTCTAATCGTGTAGTTCATGAAGCTTTGGTGGCTGCTGGTCTGGTTTGTCATAAAACGGTACCAGTTTACCACAAGAAGAAGGGTGCACTAATGTGAGCCTGTGTGATGCATTTAGTGTTTACTGCTCATTTTAAAAGCTGATCTACAGTGGTGGCCATCTGCATGCCGTAAACACGCAGCTGCTTCGCCTCGCTGTGGTGGGTAAACCAGTGACTGGATGTGGTTGATGTTGGGACTACATCTGCTGCTGTAGAGCCGTTTGAAGCTCTAATATGCTTCACCTGTCTTTCTCTTTTTCTCTCTGTGCAGATACCAAATGAAGGCTCCTTGGTGCTGGTCATAGTTCTGATTGTGCTGCAGGGAGTCTCCGGGATCTCCTTCGGTCTTGTGATCTCAGCTGCTATTGATGATGAGCAGAGCGCCAATCAAGCCGCCCTGGGCATCTTCTACCCAAACCTCATCCTCAGTGGTAAGCAGTATAACAAAGATGTTTTATAATAAAAAAAAACTTTGTGAGGATACACCTTTTTGAGAAGCACAGCGGGTGTCTGATTGTGGGAACGTTACTGGAGCTGATTACAGCTCGTTTGTGTTGTGAACTGAATATAAACCCGTGTGTGGGTCCTTCTTTATTTAGAACATGATGACACACAGTGGGATGCAAATGTTAGGGCAGCTTTCATAATTCATGTTAATCGTCATGATTTTCTTCGTGATTTTCCTTTATAAATCTTTGGTTGTTTTGATAAAACATTTTTGTTAAATATATCATATGAGACACACACAGTGATATTTGAGAAGTGAAACAAAGTTTGCAAGTTTTACAGAAAGTGTGTAATAATTGTTTAAGCAAAATTAGGCAGGTGCATACATTTGAATGAACTAATATTAAGTAGATCCTTTTTTGCAGTAATAACAGCCTCTAAACACTTCCTATAGCTTCCAGTGAGAGTCTGGATTCTGGTTGAAGGTTGAAGGTATTTTGGACCAATTTTCTTTACAGAACATCTATGGTTCATTTAGGTTTGATGGCTTCTGAGCATGGACAGCTCTCTTTAAGTCACACAACAGATTTTCAATAATATTCAGGTCTGGGGACTGAGATGGCCATTCCAGAACGTTGTACTTGTTCCTCTGCATGAAAGCCTTAGTAGATGTTGATCAGTGTTTAGACAAGGCAAGACAGCTTTATTTATATAGCACAGTTCATAATAGCACAGTTCATAATAGCCAGTGGCGGGCGGTGCGTTCCACCCCTGGGCCTTCAGTGATTTCCTGTTCAGTCCAATCTAATTTAATACACCTTAAAATACCATCCATAGGACATCACAGCTGGAGAAACCTCACACACACACACACACACACACACACACACACACACACACACACACACACACACACACACACACACACACACACACACACACACACACACACACCAGTGGCTGGTCAAGACACATAATTTCCAGAGTCTTTAAAATCAAACTCGCATTCCCAGTTGAGAGTAGGAAGCTGACCATGGATACCGTCAAATCTCAGAAATGAAAGACGGGTTTAAGAGATGAGACAATAAAATAAATAAGTAAAGCAAACACATTATTTGCATTTGTTTTGGAGAAAATTGTACCGCGAAACAATTGAACATGTTGGCGCAGCTGCACACACCACGTTATACACAATATAAATTGCATAGAAACAGAACACAGAATAATTTCATTTTGCCATTTTATTTCGTTACCATTTATTGATTATTAACAAAATAAAATGACAAAACATTAAAAAAATACTAATAACATGTTTCTACTCACCAACACATATGTCCAGCATGGATCTCCTCCTCTCCTGCTCATTAGAAAATAAAATCCATCCTTCTTTCTTTCCTCAGGAAAACCTCAGTGGCTCTGTACAGTTTATCTGTGTGCTTCAGTTCCATGAGTGGATCCTTTTCTATGGACATGGAGGCTAATGCTGAAAGACGTGTCTGCCCGGTAGTGTTTCTGGCGTACATTTTAACGCGCTTTAATGCTACCAAATCGATCTGATGCGAGCAACAGGCATTCCCAGCAGAATAACCTGCAGCGGTTCTCTGAAGCTGTTTGCCATGGGTACCGTTCATAGTTGCTTGCCTGAAAATGACGAACAAATCCTTTCTTCTGCTGGGACAAGCCAGCTAGCGTTGGAGTCAGACGACCTGTTCTCACAAGATCCATTTTTTCTTGAAAGGTCCGTCTTGAAAATGGTGTGGCAAGTTAATCTGCAACCAAGTCTGTCTCTTCTCCTCTTTCAGCCATCATGTGTTCAAAAATACACCGATAGCTGCCTATAGATACAAATCTCCGTATTTAGTTTTGATATTTTGCTTAATGCTGCTAGAAAAGTTCAAACTACTGCTTATCCAATCACAGGATGCGTTCATGTCAACTTTTGCGTGAGGCCAGTTAGCTGGCCCGGGCCAAGCTGACTCGTGAGCTGATTGGCTATCACAACTGGCTCGTCTCTGTTCACTTACAGCGGACAGCGGGCTTCTCGATTGATTCTGAAGGCCTAGAGCAGACTTAATCTGCCTGAAAACACAAGCTAGCTGAAATCTGATTGGATAACACCCAGCCTTGGTATTTTAACACTGGAAGCAGCGCAGCCAAGTGGTTATAATAGGATATAAAGAAAATAGACCAGTAAACATTTTTTTTATTTAAAAATAATTACCAAAGGAAAAAAAAATACATTTACGCTTTTGAGTACGTTTAGGCCAGCAGAGAAGGCTTTGCTGGCCCTGACTGCCCACCACTGATAATAGCACAGTTCATACACAGAGGCAATTTGATGTGCTTTCCATTAGCAAGAATAACAAGAACAATAAAATAAATGGGACAGAAAATACAATTTATATTTTAAAAAGAAACAGTTAAAGAGTGAGCTAATTCAGTGCAGAGAGAGGGTGCAGCAGAAGGCTGATGAAAACATGAAGGTTTTCAATTTTGATTACTACAATATTGAAGTTACTATATTTGGGGCACATTTGAGGTCATAAGGAAGCTGATTCCATATGTGTGCAGCATAGTAGCTGAAGGCAGATTCACCCTGTTTGGTTCTGACCCGAGGTTCTACCAGCTTACTGTTTCGTAAGGATCTCAGAGCCCTGCTGGGGCGCATTTAAAGGAAGGAGATCCAACATGTATTCTGGCCCCATGCGATTGGGTGATTTATAAACTAGTAAAAGTACTTTGAAATCGAATCTTTAGTTTACTGGTAACCAGTGTAGCGATGTGAGAACTGGAGGGATGTGCTCAGGGTTCTTGGTTCTTGTTAAAACTCTAGCAGCAGCATTCTGAATAAGTTGCAGTTGCTTTAAAGCAGGAGTGTAAAACTCAAATTCACACTGGGCCGAAATGAAAAACTGGGACAAAGTTGCAGGTCAAACTCAATATTTATTGAAAAGTGATGGCAAATGTGTACTTTTTCCTTTATCTAAGGATATGTGTTGTTGAACACTGAGTCTGGTATGACCAAATTACACGTGACAAAGTCTAGCCCCATGTGTGACCAAAGACGCTGGGGAGCGGATAGAGGCCTGAGGGTCCTGGGAGTGAGTTGGTTGGAGGTCTTGGAGTGGACACAGACATCCCAGGTGTCAGTATATTCCTTGATGTCCTTGGCCATTCACAGCTACCAGATGGCCTGTTGCAGAAACCTAAGGGTACGGGAGACCCCAGCATGGCCTGACAAGAGAAAGGGGCGGCCCCATGACAGATCCTCCCGGCAGCAGGAGGAGGGCACTTGAGCGGTTTGCGGGTGCATTGGCCGGTGCAGGATTGTCTCGAAGTGCAGCCCGGTTGGAATGTTTGAGTGGTCAAGCCAGGGAGGCCAGGAAGCGGCACTCAGGGAGTATTGGAGTGGGTTCGGACGTTGGAGCAGAGTGAGTGGGTTGTTGTGAAAGGGCATCGACCTTTTGATTCTTGGATCCCAGGCGATAGGCTGGGAAGGGCTGGAGAGGCTGACAGTCCACCAAGGCCACAGGTGGATGAGAGGGATTCGTAGGCGAGAGGCCAGATCCCCATCAATGAAGTTGTCAGCTGCCCCCGAGTCAACCAGAGCTTTGAGTTTCCAGCGTCTTCACCGTGTAGGAGGGTCACAGGGAGGAGGAGTCAGTTGGTCAGGGGTGAAGTTGACCCAGGCTGAGCTCCCCCAATGCTCACCAGGTGCTGCCGTTTTCTGGCCTCAGGGGACAATCTGAGAGGCGATGATCGGGAATCCCACAGTAGGCGCAATGGCCCTCTCGCCACCTTCTCTGCCTCTCCTCAGTCGGCAGGTGACCAAGCTACATAGGCTACTCCATAGGGGAAGTTGGCAAGCTCCCTGGGGTCAGAGCGGCTGGGCTAGTCGAAGGAGTGGCGACTGCGGGCAGTCTGAGGGGACGAGCCGTGGTACGGAGACGGGTCAGGACCCGCTGGTCTATGTGCATAGGCCTTTACCACAATGATGCAGAAGGCACTTCCGTATATAGGATTGGGTGATTATGTATGAGGTGACCGATGGGAATCCCGACCGAGGGACGATGGGAAATGAAGTCTAATGCCCGGATCATACTGTGCGATTTTTGGCCGTCTTTGCTAAATCCCTCGTCCTGAGCAAAATGGTAACAAAAAACGGTCAACGTCAGGGTGATTTGCATGTATGTGCACCATGCTGTGAACGTGCAGTGTGACCGGCTCTGCAACAGCTTTGTGATCCATCTCACAACCAAATCAGCCTCAAAAAGTCTTCAAGCACTGCTTGAAAACCTACGACGTGTGTCTGCCATGGACCAATGAAAACACACCTTAGGGACGCCGCAGCAGCAAGACTCCGCCTCTCTGAGCTTCGGATTCACTTTATGTTTGAAATGCGAACTATAAACTACTCACCAGTTTTTATGTCTGTTAATAGCCCAAGTTGAACAGGAGTTAAACTAAAAATAATTAACAAACATTTTTAGACCATTAGAAAAATTGTGAAAACCGTGATTCTGTGATCTGTGAGTGTGAGAGGAGATGTGCTCACAAACTTAAAAATTAAAACACGAAAACATGAGATCCCTTTGTTGTTGGTGGAAATTTCACATATTCAGCCAGTAAGGATGGTTCAGTAGCGCTTTGCTGCAGAGAGAGAGGATACCCAGACAGCGGATGGAATGAGTAAAGCGGAGCTGTGGAGTAAACAGTGAGACAGAATTCATGGCTAAAGTTTAGATATTGCAGCGATCTGTGATAGATTGTTACTGCTTTGTAGGTTAGTGGGTTTTTATTTATTAAGGAGGATCAGAAGGATGAATGTCCAACAGCTGTTTATCTGGAAGACAGGAAAAGGAGACACACAGCCAGAGTCTGAGGCCAAAGCAAGGGTTTTTAACAGATGAGCTGGGTCATGAGCTGATGCTAAAAAGAAGTGTTAATGGCGACGCTTTATTTTTTCAGATTTGATTTGGTTAGCGGTCTGCTGGCATATGCGTTCAGGAGTTGTTCTCATGACGTTGCGTGTCTTGCAGGAGCGAGACGTCGTGCAGCCTGGCTCACTGAAATCTTGCACTGTACAGTGGGCCACCTTTCTGGAATTCCTACAGTGTGACATGAACAATCCTGTGCGACGGCCAAAAATTGCACAGTGTGATTCGGCATTAGGTGAAGGCCGGTCAGCTGGAGGAAGCTTGTGAGGTGGTGACCATGAACCAAATTTGGCTCAAGGTCCTGAGTTTGACTGCTTTAAAGTATTTGGGGAAGACCAGTCAAAAGACCATTGCAATAGTCCAGCCTGCTGGAGATTAACACATGTTTCTCTAGGTCTTAAATACTCTTTCCCATCATTGGATTCACCTGTGTATAGAGGTCAAGGGTCAATGAGCTTACTAAACCAATTTTGAGTTCCAATAAGTAGTTATAAAGGTTTTAGAATCAATAAAATGACAACAGTGCCAAAATGTATGCATCTGCCTAATTATTACCCTATTTCTGTAAATCCTATAAACTCTGTTTCACCTCTCAAATATGACTGTGTGTATCCTATATGATATATTTAACTGAAGTTTTTTATATTAATTTATACAGGAAAATCATGAAGAGTAACAAGACCGCCCAAACTTTAGCATCCCACTGTAAATGGCTTTAGGCGTAACCTCGGATCAAATGATATCTGAATAAATAGAGTAAAGAAATAAATGCTCAGAAGTGTCACTGAGACGTTTGTTTTGTTTAAGTAAAAATGTCTCTGTTGTTTGATCCATATCTAAAAAGCATGAGCTTGATCAAAAATCCAAGGTTCATGAAATTCTGTTTTTATATTAATCTGCACGAACAGATAAATGTGAAACCGTTTTCTGTAGGACTTTCATCATTAAAGGCAGAAGAAGAAAAGGGGCACTTTAAATGTTTAATTAGATGTTTGGTATCAGAATCCAGACTCCAACCATCTTTTATTCATCTGATATCCTAAACTTTCCATCCTGTGATGTAGGGATCATTTGGCCTGTGGAGTGCATCCCGTATCCTCTCCGGTACCTCAGCCTGGCTCTTCCTCAGACCTACGCCTCAGAATCCCTTCGCTGCATCATGTACAGAGGTGAAAACAAACACAAATGTCAGCCTTGTGTGTCAGGGGTAGAGAGAGTCTTACACACAACATAACCCCTTTATTTAAATCATTAATCAGCCACCAGATCTGTAAAACTCAACTTCCATGAACACAAGGTGTAGCGGTTTCTCTTGGTCTTCTAATTATTTCTCCCGTCTGCTTTGAACAATAAGGCACAGGCCAAACCACTTCCCTGCACAGCAAAGCCCAGGTGCCTCTTCCTGCTTCTTATCGCCAACGTGCAGCAGAAGAGCCGACAAAACTGTCTCTAACTTGGTAGAAGTCATTTTGACAACATTTGCTGATTAAATTATCTTGGTGTGAGTTTAGTGAAAGTTTTGGATCCACCTAGCTGGAATTCTGGGTACATTTAGGCACTGTAGATTAACATCCACAGTATTAGAACCAGAGCACAGCAAGTTTTAACAAACTAATGGATCATTTCATTTTGTTTTGGCCAAAAATGCTGAGCACTAAGTATTCAGACTGGAAGATGTACATCATTCTGATTTAGTGGACACACACAAGTGCTCTTTCTACAATTATTCAGGTGTTTGGTTTGACATTGAGTTTAAAAAATATAATTAAAAAAGCAAAATCATAATTTTTTTATCCACCAGGTTGGGGTCTGTCTAAGATGATGGTGTGGCGAGGCTTTGCCGTCACTCTGGGCTGGAACACCTTCTTCCTCATCTTGGCGATGGTCATCTTGAAGCTGCGGACGTGACGGCCACCCTTTTTTACCTTGGAGTTCACCACCCTGAGTCCGCGCAGAGCTTTCAGGTGAACCCCACCCCTAAGGAGCCTCCTCCATTCTCTGGGGTAACCAGGGCAACAGGAAACAAAAGGAAACATGGAGGGAGGTTCCACTGTGGGTTTTTTAGATTGACAGGTCAGTGCATCAGTCACCTTCCCCAGATTATCTCTCTGACACACTCTGATCCTGCAGCAGTTGCTTTTGTCTGTTCAAAGTGTAACTTTATGATGCTGCACCCTTTTCTGTAACATCTAGAAAATGTTCACTCTGTGAATAACCACAAGCCAACTCAGGGTCCCATTAGAAAAAACACAGTTCACCCCTAATCTTAGTACTAACAAGATAGTTTTTTCCTCTTTTAACATTTTATCAGACTTGAAACAGAACTTGATCCCTCCGTTGTTGATTTAAAAGAAAAAAACACTACCGCCGGACGTTTTGATGTCAGTATTTACCTTTAATCTACATGTGCATTACAGAAAATGAAGGAAAAGTTATAATAAGAAGGATTTGAGCACAACTACAGATTGTTTCTTTTCTAAAGGAAGCATAAAAGGTACGTTTTCAAAGCAGAAAATAGAGAAGATTACGTTGTGGGAACACGAATGAAGTGATGATGCTTTATGGCGTGAGCCCCTTCAAGCACAGCATCTCTCTCTTGTTGCTCGTTTGTGGTATTTTGTTTTCTTCTTAGAAAGAAGAGGTGACCGTTGTTTAATCTCTTTTTTTATCAGGTGTTTAAATGTGTTGCACCTTTTAGTTCAGGTTGAAGGTTTTTTATTCTACAGCTTCATGTCTGACAGTGTTGGTGATGGAAAGTTCTCAGCTGTATTTTTCAGTTTTGTTTATTTTCCTTCTTCTTCTTTGCTGGACAGAGTGGAAGTCGAGTCACTTTTCTGTGTTATGTTTTTTTCTTTTTACATATTTGCTATCGTATGAAGTTCCTCTGAAAATCCTACAAAATAAAAGCACACAAAAGGAGTTCAGCATGTTATCAAGATGGTGACAATCATGAAGGAAATAGAAGAAAGAAAATAAGAAATGAGGACATAGTAAAACATTTTGGTTAGAATGTACACAATTGTTCGTAAAGAAAGCTGCATTTTAATAAATTAATTCTTCCTGTATACATTTATAAGTGTTTTTTTATGTTTTCATTTTCATTTAGAATTAAAACAATTATAGAAAACATTCCAGTAAGATAAGATTTAAAAGGCTAAAATCAAAGTACTGGGGGAAAGTAGTTCTCTGTTTAGAATATCTTCTTTCCTTTGTAAAAGTAAACACCATGCACCCATCAAAAGCACCTTACCAGCATCACATCTAATGCCAGAGACAGATTTAACATGTTTACTCAACAGCATTTATTACATCAGAGTATATTTTTGATCTTATTCGCACACACGTTCCTGTTTGGGTTTTGAACTTATGTAGATTTTCTTGTGCTGTAAATCTGCAGCTGATGGTGGTGTTTCTCCTGCAAATTATAATCAATCTGAGCTCTTGTTTGTGAAACTGTGACTGCTTTCTTTTTTTTTTTAAATGATCAACAAGCTTGTGAATGAATGTGTCCTTGAACGAATGATGGGGATGAATCATTTTTTTGTGTTGGAGGGTTAACTTGTGCCTAACTTAACGGGCTAAATCTGTACTGCTTCTGTCAACTTTGGGTCTTAGTTGTTCATATAGTACTTTTTTCACCAAAATACATTAAATATTGTTGCCAAAATATTTGTTTAAACTTTGACAGATAGTGGTGATGTGTTTGTTAAAATGTGCTCTGATCCCATGAAATATCTTATAATGCTTTGAACTTTCATGTTGACCTTAAAAGTAATCAAACTAAAACAGAAATGTACACGTTGGAAGGACCCTTAAGATGCATTTATCAGATTAGTGACACTCTTGTTGATTAAAAGGAGGCAAATCCTCTTTAATGTGTTAACTTTTTAAATTCGAATGTTAGAGTTTATGCCAAAATGAGTCAAGTCAACATAAAACTCCAGCCGCTTACCTCCACCAGGGAAGAACTGACACTCCCGTGTTGCAACTTGTACGCACTGTGATAGCACTCATGCTTCCATAAAGATCTTTTCATTTATTCTAAAACAATAAACATCATTGAAAAAAAATCTCCCTTTTGTATTGTGCCTCTTCTTTTATTGTGGTTGCAAAAACAGCTGGAGGGTCATGAACGACGAAGGTATTTGATTACATCACACTTGCTTACAGGTCTGTGTGGCTTGTTACCATGGTGATACTCTTGAGTTTGCTTCTTTGTTGTTGAGCCATCCTCACCTGACTGGTTATCTGAACTCTGTGTGTCCATTTACTTTAAAACTGATTTTGTTAGAACATACACTTGCTTAAACAGCCATGCTGAAAGGACTGATCTCCCTGCAGGAAACACAAATGAACCTGTGTATTATTAAGTCAGAGCTAGACTGAGGAGGAGGTTCAAGGTAAGGATACGTCACATTGCATAAGTCATAGAGAAGGACTCTTGGTTGGGAACTCCTTACGGTGTGTGTGTGTGTGTGTGTGTGTGTGTGTGTGTGTGTGTGTGTGTGTGTGTGTGTGTGTGTATGTGTGTACGTCGTGCATGCATAAGTGTGTGTGTGTGCGTGTGTGTTCTTTTAATCAGCATTGATGTTTTTAAAGGAATCTGTGAATGATTCAAGACAAGGTTACAGTGGTGGATGGATGGGTGGATTGTATCTTTTGTGTGTTAGTACATTTTAGTTCTAGTTTATAAATTTCTGATCTGTTTTTGTGATTGTATTAAAGAGACAATATGTAGTTTTTACTGTTAATCTCTGGAAATCCATTGAAATGTCAAATGAATTAAATTATGTCCAGTTGTTGAAAAATTTAGGCGGCTTTGTAAATTATAACCATAAAAATCAGGTCTAGAATACATGGGAGCAGGTCTAAGGGTGTTTCTCAACATCAAGGCGCCTTGCTTACGAGGACACTGTCCTTCCTTGGTTAAAGAAAACGGTTACAGACTTGCATCACATGACCACGGCGGTCACGTAATGTCACGTGACATGGGAGAAAACGTTATATTTTATACGTATTAGTTTCAGTATAAATATTTAACGAACCTTTTTATTTTTTAATTTGTGTATAAATTTGTTAAATTAAATATATAAGCGAGTTACTACCTGGTAACCACCGAAGCTGCAACTAACAAAACATAGATAACTTCTTTGGATCTAAAAAAAAACATTTTAAATTAGTTGACTTATTTTAAAACTTGAAATTTGCCCCCGAAGTAGCTGCCAGCATCTGATCCGCCATCCTTTTAAGAATACTACGGTGCATTCTGGGTAATTTTTGGCCAAGGCTAGGCTCCAAGACACCTCCCGTATATCCTTGCTCAGGTAGCTAAACGGCTAACAAATGGAGAACACACGTCTAGGTAGAACATGAACATTGGAACACGTCTTGGCGGCTCCTGATGACGTATCTCCTAGGCAACCAGGGCGGGGCCAAGACGTCAAGGCGAGGTTCCTTGGCATTGAGAAACACTCTGTCTCTCGCTGATGCCATAGTAGATACCATGTTTACGAGAGCCCATGAGGACAAAATGCATTTACTGATTTGTTACAGTTACAAAGATTTCACCATTCATAAATGTTTTTTTATTCCATCGACATATAAAGAAGCTGGCGTAATCCCGCGCATTGTGTTGTGGGGGGCAGGTTTGAAACCAAATATTTTCCCACCACCACCATTTTGGCCATGTCACACATTTCGTCATCCAAAAATGGGAATAGAGGTGGAGTTGAGGGTGGGACTGTTACGGTTGGAACAGGTTGGAACAAATGAGCCAATGTAGTTACTAGCTAGCTTAGCTAACCCAAGAAGCTAAGAAGGGGCTCCGGTGTAGTCGACTTACATGGCCACTTGGCTTCTGTGCAAGGTTGTAGTCATGCTGGTTGCATGTGGATCTCTAATATAGACTGAAAATACAAATAGAGCCTCCTATCGCTGCGACCAGAGCTGGGCTCCCTGGCCGTTCACGTGAGGTCATGCTCCACCTTGGTCCGAGCAGGTTGAAGATCAGCTGGAGATTAGCTAACTCATGCTAAAGGAGGTTTTACATGTGCTTTTAGCAAGAGAAGCAAGGTAAAGCAACTCTAAAATCAACTCAAATAGCAGCTGTGTTTTTGTAATCTACCTTAGAGAGCTTCACAAGTGAGCAGCACAACTAAAGTCTAGCATGGAAGCCAGGGCGTGGCACGTCTCAGCCAACTTGAAAGATGGGAGCTTGTGGCCGCCTGCGTGTAGCAGCTGTTCCTGGCTGGCTGAGATACAGGAGAAGCCGGGTGCCCGCCTCGCTGGGCTTCCTCTGCTAGGATGAAGCAGCACATTCCCAGATCTCTTTACGGTTGGGTTTTCCAAAAGAAGTTAACCAAATGGATGACGACTCAAATGAAGATTTACATTTTTCAAGATGTCCAGGACACTTGCCGAATTGCTCTGCTCTACTCGTTATTTAAGTGGGATTGAGATGTTTCAAATTAATTTACTGTATTGTTGTAGTCACCTGAGCAAGGGCATTTTGCTGCACTTTATTTTTACAAACTATTTATGGCAGCCTATGTTAAGTACCTAAGCTGTAAGTGGAACTTGGATGGCACTTTTCTTTCTTATACTGTACAGTCAGTGTTTTGCATTTTACTTTTGTCCAAAATGTTAAACTGAAGCTGACCTTTAATTATCTGTAAGATTTAGATTTTATGGGATTTACAACAATAATGGTAATGCTTATTAATGAAATTAGTCTTAAAAGGTTAACTTGAGTTACTTGTTAAAATATATTTCAGCTTTACAAATTTCAACAGAAAAGGCAACCTATTGGATCAGGATTCGAAATGGGACCAGATTTGAAGTTAAAAGATCCGATTGGGATCAGAAGAAAAAAATGCTGATGGGGACATCCCTGAGTTCAACCCATTTTGTCCAAGCAGAGTGATGTTAAATGCAGCATTTCCCTCTTTTCAGCCAGCGAAATAAAGTACAGAAATATATTTTTACTTACTGGTAAAAGAGAAGCAGGAACTACTTGGATAATCTGTTAGTGCAGTCAATAATCACAGCTTGCCCTTTTTGTCCAAATGATTCTATGGTTAACATCCAAACACAAACACACAGAGGACACAGCTAAAGTATAGAGAGTCAAAATGGCTGAATATCCATTATGAGGCCCAGGCCTTTCCCTGGAGCTAGCTCCTATCATTAGCTCGTGGCTCTAATGTTAATTTATTATTCATATTTTCAATTTAATTTCATTTAATTACGCTTAAACTGAAGTTAAAAAAAAATAATTCACCCCACAGAGTTGTCATGAATGTAAACTAGATCATCCATCCATCCATCTTCTGAACCCGCTTGTCCATGTAGGGTCGTGGGGGGGGGGGGGGGGGGGGGGTGCTGCTGGTGCCTATCTCCAGCAGTCAACGGGCAATCAGGCGGAGTACACCCTGGACAGAGAGCCAGTCCATCGCAGGGCTACACAGAGACACACAGGACAAACAGTCACGCACACACACACACACTCACACCTAAGGACAATTTAGACTGACCTATTAACCTAACAGTCATGTTTTTGGACTGTGGGAGGAAGCCGGAGTACCCGGAGAGAACATGCAAACTCCATGCAGAAAGATCCCAGGCCGGGACACGAACCCAGGACCTTCTTGCTGCAAGGCAACAGCTCTAACCACTGCGTCACTGTGCAGGCTGTAAACCTAAAATGGTTTTTTGAACCAGGTTGTAAACATGTTTATTTCTGCTGTGAAATTGGCTTTTTTAACATAGGAGTCAATGGAAACTTGCTCTGTTTTGGAGCCAGCCCCTAGTAGATGAGAGTAGAACTGCAATTTTTGGCACTTCACTCGTTGCCAGTGATGTGTTTGTCATTTAGCTGGAGGTTGCACTCCAAGGGATTTTTGACCCTAATGGCCATCCGTTGGAAGGTCTTCCTTGAACACTAAAATACTGCTTGCTTGCAATGATTTAGGTATGTTCTGCCCCTTATTGCCAGGGAAAATACACATTGTCACTTTAAGCAGTTTAATTTTAGTAATTTCATTGTGCCACGAATGGGAAATTAGCATATCACTCCTCACTCACTTGGGCGTGGCCAGCTGCAGCTTGTTTTCTTAAAGTGACAGAGCTCTGAAATGGCTCATTCTGGAAGGTCCTGAAACTGTCAAGAATAAAACTGCTGAAATTACTTCATGTGAGAAGAATTTAGTGCGAAGAACTTTATTAAAAAAATTCGATACCGTAGAACAATTATCACTTAACATAAAAAGTCATATAATGTCCCATTTAGTGTAAATTTAATTTAATTTCTGCATTCTTTTATACATGTTTTGAGAAAATATCTTTAGAGCAACAGAACCAACTATCATTGTCTGCCTGTTTGTTGTCAAAATGTTTATCATTAAATAAAGAATTTGTGATTGAATAAAACCTCTCTGGAAAAAATCAGGTCTAACCAGTTTCAGAGGCAAACAAACGTTTGTGCTATAGAGAGAATTTTGGGTAAGAGGAATATTCTAATAAATGATCATGTTTGCTGTTCTTTGTGTTCTATGACGTAGATTTCAAAGTGTTTTACAAATTATGTAAGAGATGCTATATTTACATTGAAAAGAAAATAGTTTTAAAAATACTCTGGCACCAAAATGAAGTGGGACAAACTCTCCTTTACACAAACATCAGCGTAGATTTCTTCTGATCCTCAGGATCAGTCAGAAATGGGAGTCTGGTTGTCTGTTCAGTCAGTCACTGTTGTTTGCGAGCTTGGTGACAGCACCGTACCAAATTACAGTAAATTATGCTGTAATTATATGCAATGACACCCAAGAGTCTCAGGGGATTGTATTCCTGCATGCTCATGTTGTATGATGATGCAACACGGACAGAATGCACAAATAAGTTACAACAATGGGAGTTATACAGATTAAACCAACCCATGTGTTCACCACACTCTAATTTATGGGAATTCTGCAGTTAAATGCAATTTACAGCTGTCCACATCTGGCTTACATCATCCTCGACCATTTCAAGTGATGTCATGTTCTTTTTTTCGTCTTGAAAACATGTGTTGGGTTA